TCACTCCCAAAGCCAGCCTGCTCCTTAGGTGCTTTGTAGGAGGGAAACGCCCCGAGGCCTCTATTGGTTCCTTTCATCTGGTCTATGGGTTCTTAAACTCCCTGCAGGGACTGCTGCTGGTTTGCAGCTGGAGTGGGAAGAGGAGAGGGTTTGGTCACTTTTTGGTTTGCTCAAATTACCTTTGCAAATGGTGCCTGCATCAGAAGGGCTCTGAACCAGACAGCTGAAAGTACTTGATAGGTAAGAGAAAAGAATTTTTAATTTCTTTGAGATTCCTATTGTTCTTTTTGAGGGATAACTCAATTTGCCTCTGACTTCTCAGAGCAGATGCCCTCCAAGGATTTTGAAGCCTTACTCAAGCATCAATAATCCTGTATTTTGGGCATGTATTTTTATTACAGAAGGTACAGTAGTATTTAATAGGTTTCTTAAAGCCCATTTTGAAGGGCTTAAGCTTTCCTCGGTTGTCTCCTCCAGCCATATAAAACTACATATCTTCTAATATAAATGGGAGTTTTGCCTTTGGATCTAATGGAGCTAGGGTTTAACCTAGAAGGGTTTCTTTTTAGAATGCTTGTTCCTAGTACATGCTATTAGGCAGATACCCTAGATCTTCAAGCACTGGGCAGTAGGATGGAAAAAGACTTGCAGAGTTAGACTGTTGGAATCTTTCACACAAATATTCCCCAATCTCTCCAGCTTTCATCATCCTGTGCTTTCCTCTGCAATAATTGAAAAGATGTGAACAGGGTTTCTTTCATCCCTTCCCTTAGGAGACTGTTCTGTGCCTGGTAGATCTGACTGTCAGGCATTCTTCCCTAAACTAGTCCTTTCCCTAATATGGTGTTATAGCCAGTTATGTGTATGACACTATATTCTCCACAAAAAGTCAGTTAAACCCACTCTTTTTAACAGCAGGGGAAAAAATCTCTTTATTATATGATGAGGAAGCCAAAAAAGTTGTTCTCTTTCATTATGCTTGACAGAAATGCTTGTGTCCAGAGGTTTTTCCTCTGGAATGATCTCTAAGCCTAGGAAATTTTGAGCTCAATTCGTAATTGCTGTGAAGCCCTAATTAGTCACAAGGTCATGTTACAGCCCAGAATGCTATTAATCACTAGGTGCTGAGCAAAGGGATTTTGTGTATGTGTCTGTGTGTTTGGGAACCCCATCTGCAGGGGTTTGGAAGTAAACCACATAAAACAAAGTGCTGGGGTTTTCTGCAATGAACTGTGATAGACTGCAGAATTTAGGCATAAATTTGTTCAGAGATTTGAAGCAATCTCTTATATTTGATTTGTTTCAGAAGTCTGCACAGGAGAAAAAGAAAGGTGGAGCTAGTTTCTGTGTCTCTTGGAGGGAGAGGATGGCTTGAGGTGGGAAAGCATAGCTGGAAACAACTTCTCTCCCTGGGCAGCAGAAGAAACCTTTGGGTGACAAACTGACCAAAACCCCTCTGCTCTGTCTTCCTGCGCTGTTGGTGGGAAGGAAGGAGAGGCTGGGGGAAGAAAAGGTGTTTTAAAGGCTTATTTTACTTCTCATTAGCCTCCTCTGATTTTATTAGTAAAAAACTCACTCTATGCCTCTAAGTTGAGACTGTTTTGCCCTTGGAGTGTTTTCTTCTGGTCCTTCTTTCAACTAATGAACCCTTTGCCTAAATTTTTTCTCTCCTCTGCCCAGCTGTAGCAGGAGAAGGTGAGTGAGCGACTTTCTTGGGTGCCTGGTGTTTGGGTAGTGTCAAACCACAAAACTTGCTAATGAAATACAGCTGCTAGATTGTTTGATCAGCTTACTTGTAATTAAATTGCAAGTTAAGCTCATTGCACCCTCCAATTCTAATTATATACAACAATGAATGCAACCACCAATTCTTTATACAGAAGGAGAAGAACTGAATACATCTTCAAAGCCTGAAGAAGGAGCATCTTTGCAAGACACAAACCCACAAAATACAGACTAAGTATTAGTCCCCTTTCCTCATATTCCAGGAGCCATCTCAAATAATAACACAAAAGATTCATCTTCTTAATCAAAATAAGTTTGAAAAAATTTCGTGCTTGGCCATGCGGCAAGTCATGACCCTCATCAATGTTTTTCTTTGTTTCACTTTCAGTCCTTGCCCCCAGAACGCAGCTGCTGAACTCCATGGAGAACTCCCTGGCTCTCAGCTGGGATCCAGTGACTGATGTGGATAATTACCTGCCTGACCTATTATCCAGCTGGGTATGAAATGTTGGTGAAACAAATCCATGTGCCCAAAGAGCAGCTCAGCTATGAGATGGCACAAGGTGCTGGGGTGGAATCTCACAATGTCACACTTCCATCACGTGTGAAGGGGATTGCCACTGAGCCTAAGCATCTAGAAGCCAGTACAGGTAGGAGCAGGTAGTATTATTTGGAGAGTCAGATGTTGTAAATCTTTAAAGTTAGATTTCAACAAGTGAGGGGAGCTGAGTGCTGGAGAACACTTTTCTCTTCCCAGCCTAGAGTTATGTCATTGGTTTCTGGAGAATCTGTTCCCAGATTTGGATCATTAGATCCGAATGTATTGCATATCTCCTCTCTTTCTATTTTTCTTGTCCAAATCCTACTTGTGTTGACACCTGTGAATTCCAGGGAATTTGTAGTGTTGCCTGCTGCAAGAAGCAGGAATGGAAGCATGCAGGATAAAGGCAGCATGTTACTAAGAATAATGCACTGGATGCAGAAAGAACTTAAAAGTAGGCAGGATGTCATTCCTAGGTACTTACTGTCCCAACATGTAAGTCTGCATGTCTGCAGCAGTGAGTTCTCCTCATAGTCTCTTCCCAGGACTGAATGAGCGTGATCCTGCTGAGGTTAAGAGGTTGAGTGTGCAAAGGCTGTGCATTTGAAGCAGCCCCTTGAGAACTGAAATGTCCTTTGGTTAGCAGCTGATATTATGCTGTCTGCTTGTACTGGGCAAAGACAGTGAAAAGCTTGGTGATTTTGGCATTTTTCCTGCTTCCAGCACAATAGGTGGGAGCTGAGAGCCAGCAAACACCAGAGCTGGACTGTTACCATGGATAAAACTGAATTTGTTGAAAAAACAGTTGTTCTGTCCTTGCTTGACTCTTCAGGCTGAGGAAAATGTCTTGGGTCTCAGAGCAGGAATCTGGGCAGAGAAGGAGCATTGCTTAGTGACTTTTCTGTCTTGTATTTACCTTTTTGTGCTGATGCTGCTTCCCTACATCTCTCTGCTGTTTCCCAGTCTGGTCTGAAGCCAGTGCCATCTGAGTGACAGAGGAGGTGGAGTACTCCCTGGAAGTGGGGTGGGAGAGCCCTCCAACAGATGTGCATTATTACAGGCTGAGCTTCAGATCCCTAGTGGAGATGCATGAGAAGCACATCTAAGAGCAGATAAATCCTCACTGGTGAGTGTTCGTGGGTAAAGTGGCAGGAATTATTTACAGTCAGACTGTTAATTAGACTGAGACAATTCTTCTCTCATGTGTGAATGTCCAGTGAGATCTATTTGTGCTCCCCTGTCACATAAGGAGGGGTGTCTCCACAGGGAGAAAGCTATGCTCTGTAGATAGCAAGTTTCCAGGCATATTCATTCACTTAATTCTGTCCCTGTTAGGAAAAAAGTGCATTCTTCTGTTTCAGAGCTGATATTATGCAAATCCCCACCTGCAAGCTCCATCCAGCCTGGCCTTGAACACTTCAGGGGTGGGGCAGCCACAGCTTCTCTGGGCAGCCTGTGTCAGTGCTTCACCACACTCCCAGGGAAGAATTTCTTCCTAACCTGCCATGATAGGTGTTTTAGGGGTTTGATTCAACTGGAGATAGCTAATCCTGCATTTTGAAATGCTGTCTCAGGAGTCAGCAGCCCAACCAATGTGACAACCAACTGAGTGACAGAAGAAACCACCACTGTCTCATGGAATAAGGTGGAGGCTCCCTTAGACAGGTAGGGGAATAAACCACATGGACTCTACTTCCTTTATGGGGGAAAAAGCCATTCTTTATTCACATAACTCTTTTTATACAGTTTTACAGACTTTGTGTGTGACTCCAGTTGGTCAGTAGCTTTCTTGTCAATTACTGTATTGATTAGTAACAGGTTGTTATCCTGTATTGATTGGTAACTCAAACTCTTGGTGTTTATGTTCAGGGACAGTTGTTTGTTAAAGATAGTTTTCATTTTTCTATCTAACAATGTAAAACCAGTTTATGCAGGGGCTAGTTGTTTTTTTTTTTAACCCAGGAATAGTTTGTTCTGCTAACGAGCTGCTCACACCAGGAGTGCTTTCACATGGGAACTTGCAAAGTGCTAGCTTGACAAGGCCAGCCACTGATTTCAGGAGAGCAGGTTTGATTTTAAGAAGCCTTTTAAAATAATTTTTCCCCTTTACTGCAACAGACAGGTACATGGAGAGATACACCTTGGCTGGTGGAGACCCCAAGGACATGCAGCTGGGCAGTGAAAATTACATGATCACCTTACTGGATCTGAGGCCAGACATGGAATGTCACTGACATCTGGGCAGAGGAGCAAGAAGGCAAGCACGAGAGCTGTGACAGGTGAGCTGTAGCAGCACTGGAGGGAGCTGAGTTTAGAAATCAAACTCCTTCATCCATTTTACTTCTTTTGGTAAAGCCTCTTCTGCTTGGCATGCATTTTTGGTGCGGCAAGCATGTAATTCTTACTAGTGTGGCTGAACAGGCTTCCAGCACAGCTTAGGACTCTGAGGTCTGTTGTGGACAGGCTCTATGACAAGGGACCAGTTACTAGAACTGGAACTGAAGTTAAAACTCAAACCTCATAACCCGCAATGTGTAATTCATGCCTTGCCTTTAAAGTGTTACAAACCATATCCAAGCCAAAACTCAAACCTCATAACCACCTACAATGTGTAATTCATGCCTTGCCTTTAAAGTGTTACAAACCATATCCAAGCATTTCTTTGGGTGACTGTTGTAGCATTTCCCAACAGGATAGGGGACTCATACACACTTCAGACAGATAATCATGGCAGACTATTTGTTAAAAGGAAAAGCATGTTTATTTGGATAATAACATAAATTAAGAAACGTGTGGGAAGTCAGATCTCCCAAACAGTATATTTGCTTGCTGTCCTTTGGTAACAGGGAGTCTCCATTGGAAGGGTGTTTGCAGCTGAATCTGCAGCTAGATTGGGAAACTTCTTGAACAACTGTCCTAATTAAATTTTGCCTCTATTTGCACCAATCCATCTATGACTGAGTACAGAAGCAGTTTCTACTGACAAATAATCTTATATATGTGCATTTCTTCACAAAAATTACCTGGAGGGATATTTGGGGTGCTCAACACAGGATGTTAACCAACATATTTAATCATGTCAATTAGACTAGACATAAGAGGAGATGCCTCGGGGGAATTTGTAGGACTGTCTGAAGCTCTCACATGAGGGGTCAGTCAAGCAGTGATGGAGCTCAGGCAATCCTCTACTTTCAAGCTGGTTTATTGTCTCCAGCCAGCCCATGTGCTCACTGGTGCAGGTGTCTGGCAGCTCCTGGAGCACACAGGGAGCTCAGTAGTGAAGAGCAGAGCAGCACAACCTCTACTCAGCTCCAGTGCAATTAGACCTGAAGAACAAACTTGATTTTCATATTGCACAAGAAAATAATTTGCTTGGTTTTTCTTGCCACAGGTGAGCATCTCATACTGCTAACGATTTGAGCTGTGATTATTCAAATTCCCAATTCCCAGCGTGTGCTGCTCTAGGGTGGTACAAACAAGCCTCAGCATCTTTCATTAAAATGAAAAGTAATGTATTTTCGTCTCACAAAAGAGCTGAGATTAGTACATGCAGGTGGTACATCACATTAGTACATCACAACTTTTACCATAGCTAATGTGTGGTAAATCACAGTGCAGCTAAGCTGGTGTGTGGTAAATTACACTGTGGCTGATGTGCATCTGTGCCCTGGAATTTAGAGCCTCCAGCAGGATAAGAAATTCTGTTCCAATAATTTGAGAGGCAACTGCAAGACCTTCACTGCTAGGCTGCTGAGATGTATTTAAAAGTTCAGTGACTTAAAAAATCCTAGTTAAACTAAACAAAAAATTGTTCTGTAAAGGTCATGAGTTGTATGGCTGTCCTCAAAGGGCCACATCACTGCAGGCTGTTGTCTTATGATGTGAAATTAGGACTCCTGAAATTTAGTGTTGTGTTTCCATCTGAGAATTGGGCAGGGAAAGATTGCAACAGTGGGAGGAATTTGAAAGTGACAGAGAGCTGCATTTCACAGATTCTGAGCAGGTGATTTGGGGTTTTTTTCTTGGTTACTTCCCAAAATAACTCAGGCAAGGTGTTGTGACCTTCAGAAAGCAAAAGCCACTAACAGCATATTCTGCCTGAGCTCTGTCTCTGCCTGGGCAGTGGCTGTGCTTTTGTTGCTCCCAAAGAAAGAGTCCTGCTCCAGTAGCTGTGAGGAGACCTAAACCCCAGCTGAGATACCTCAGAATTGGGCACCCCCCACTTGGCAATTCAGGCCCATCCTTGGCAAGAAATAAAGGATGAGAGGTGGAAGAAATCAGCAGGGCCCCTGAGGGGAAGGGGTAAGAGCAGCCCTGTTTGGACACCCATGTTTTTCACTCAGCTGTTCCACAGAAACCAGCAGCCCATCTCACCCAGTGCAGGGCAGAGGATGTCTGACCCTGCCAAAGCTCAGCCACCTTGGCTCTGATATGCAGATATGGTTACCAAAGTACCAGGAATGGCAGGACATGGAAGCAGTTAGCACACCTGTTTTATCTTCCTTGCACTGTATCCAGCAGTACAAAACTATTTGACTCCACAAATATGCAATGGTGACTCTCTTAAGTAGCTGTTATTTACACTGCATGGTCAAAACCCAGTTTACAGCTAAAGAAAAAACTCCTGTTAGATTTACCAGTTTGGGCTGGAGAGAAAAAAACAAGGGGTTTTGTTTGCCCAGTTTTGGATACACAAAACCCCTTTTAGGTTTTTAGACATAGAATCGTTTCCCAAATTTCATTTGTTTTTCCAAATGTATTTGATAGTCTAATAAAACAGTGGTGGCCCCCTGCACCCATGGGAACTGCTAGCTGGCCTTTAAGGGCAATGCTGTGAGACTGCAGCCTCTGAGGCTGCCCTTCCCTTCCCTTGCGTCTTAGGATGGATTTGGTACCTTTTAGCTCCCTCTCCTGTCCAGCTGTAGATACATATGTAGTGAACTTGTCTGAGGAGGCTTCTGGGTTGTTTCAATTAAAGCAGTTGTTTAGAGCTCTCCCAAATGAAGCACAAGTTCATTAGATAATGGAATACTCTTAACTTATGAGCCTGGTGTAAGGTGGTCTTCAGTTTTAATGAACAGACAGCAATTTAAACAGCGTGGGCTGGGCACCGCAGGGCTACTGTCCCTGCTCTTACATTTGGGGTTTTGATTTCTTCCTCTCTGCCTTTTTATCTGCTTTTTATCTGCTTTAACACTGCATGAGGAGTGCAGCATTTCCTGGGAGGAGCCAGCCTGCTCGACTCTTCTCACTTATCTAAGACAGACAAAGCATGGCCTCGTGTTTTTCTGTGGCCTTTTCACAACTGCATTATTTCACTGATGCATTATAATTTTTGTTATGCTTATCCTCGTTCTTCAGGGCCAGGCTTTTGTAGCCTGGTTTGTCCAGAAAAGACAGAAAACAATGTGCCTATGGACTCATATGACTATGAGCCCTCCAGGGAGATTTGTGGAAGAGGTGGGAATTAAGATAAATTATTCATTTATAGTTTGATATAAACTCAGGTGTACTTCAGGGCTGGAGCACTCTTCCCTGGAGGCCAGCACTGCCCACCAAGGACCTCCTCTGTACAACTTGGAAACCCACTAAAACCTTACTCATCAAATTGTTTCCTTAAGATGTTCCTAAAATATGAAATATATAGCAAGCACAGGATGAAGATTAGGGAGGAGCTGCTTCCAGTGTTGCTACTTTCAACACATTTAAAAATTGGATTTATCTTGGGAAGCACTGCAGCCCCCTCGTTGGCACCTCATAAGACACTTTTTGATGACTGTTGTTGACTGGAAGACTCTTTGATTCCAGTGAATGAGCTGGTATTCCATTTCCAGCACAGACTGAACTATGAAGCTCTGGGTTTCTTTGTATCCCTGTATTTACTAAAGAAAACTGAACCATGACAACAACAAAGCCTGTGAAGTCATTCTTCATCTGCAATAGGGGAACAAAGGGTGGAGGTTCTCTGCAGGCCACATCAGAGCTGTGCTCCAGCACTGGGGCATAGAGCCTCAACCTGTCCTGTGTGTGAGTGCTCCTCAGAGATGAGCCTGTTGGACACGTGAGGAGCTCCTGGACACTGCAAGTTGAGCCAATTGCTGGGCTCACAGAGCATCCCAAACCACATCTGTAGAAGGCTTGCAGTGTTTGGTCTAGGCTTCTGCTGCTTGCCAGCTGTGAAGGCCACTGGTGGACTTCCAGCCCAAGAGCTGCACTGCAGTTTGTGTCTTTCATTTGGGCAGTGGTGTAGCAGGACTTCCCCTCTGCTGCAGAAGAGCTTATCTCTTCCATCAGCTGATGCAACAGCTCAGGGCACCTTCCCCCCCTTGCAGGAATCTGCCAATTGGTGAGATAACCCAAGATATCTGTCCTGTGGTGAGTTATCTCTGGTACCAGGGAGGTGGAATTCCCAGCTGGCCATAAACATCTTGCCTTGAGAGCAGATTGAAGGGAGATAAGCTTTGAATTTCTGACTGACAGGCATTTCACTTTACAAACGATAAAAGCTACACAAAACCTTCACAAAGGAGAAGTCTTTTGCACATTCCTTGGAAATATGTAGGGACCTCTCCTCAAGGTTTGGGATGCTGGCCCTGAGTTGAACTTCTGAAAGCTGAGTTCCATCTCATGCAGCCCTTGGGGACCATATCCTTGTGCCATCTCCCAGGCAGTGGGCAAGGCCAAAGCTGCTACCTGCAGCTAGGGGCTGTGCTTTCTGTGCTTCTCTCTCTGTGCCCTTGTCCATAGGAGCTTCCCAAGGTGAAGTGCCTCCTTCTGCTTTGCTGATGGACAGTTTTTCCTGCTCTGTTCACACAGTGAGCTTCTTCTGCCTGTATCCCACAGACTGCAGCCAGGTGCAGCAGGATAGGAATGCCTCCAGTGCCATGTGCACCGTTTACCTGAGCAGGGATGGCAGCAGGCTGCTGCAGGTGTACTGTGGCAGGAACACTGACAGAGGCAGGGGGATACTGAGTGGGGCTCTGCTCCTCTTCATGCTTTTTTGTGAATGTAATAACGTGGACATGATGCAAATGTTATGAGGCTCCTTTCTGTCTGCTGCATTCCTGTGTTTCAGCTCCTTCCTGAATGGAGTAGCATGTCCTAGGGAGGGTAGTGGCTGCTGATGTACCCATCAGGCTGGGGTTATGTGTGTGTACAGTGAATGCATTGCTAGTGCTGTGAGCACCTCAGCTCTGGCCACACAGGAGGTGCTGAGTGGCTTAAAGGAATCTGAAGGCAGAGGCATGGATGCCTTGCTCAGCTGATGCCTGTTAGTGTTCTCACTGCTAGTGCTGTGAGCACCTCAGCTCTAGCCACACAGGAGGTGCTGAGTGGCTTAAAGGAATGTGAAGGCAGAGGCATGGATGCCTTGAGGTGGGGAGTGTGTGTGAATGTGGAGCAGTGAGCTCTGAGGTTCATTGACAGCAATCTCCCTAAACAACCAGAGAAAAATATTAGCTTTTTCACCTTTCAATGATAAGCAATTTTCTCCACTGTAATAAATTGTTGTGTGTCAGTGCCAAGCCCCTCTGATCTTGGTGAAGTTTAGAAACCCAAAGGCCTTGTGGATCTTGTCTAAGCTTGTTTTGTCTTAAGTGTTCAGATCATGCTCAGATTTGTGGAAAGTACATTGTACAACTAAGTATTTGTCCCAGTGCTTATGTGCAGCCAGAAAATGCAGTGTGTGAATCAGAGAATCCAGCATTAAATAGGGCAAAGTTTTGGAGCAAGAGTCTTTAAATGTTCTGGGAAAAATAATGTTGCAGTACAGCCAGTCTTGTGCTGGCTAACGTTGTTTGTTTCTTCTGATATTTCTTGCCAGAAACTGAGATAAGACAGCATAAACTTGGCAAATTGTCATGAAGCCTCAAGCAGAGAAGGAGGAGGCAGGAAATAGCTGATTTAACCAAAATGGTCATGGGATGAGAGTCTAAGACTGCAAAGGTGAATAGGCTTCCTACTTTAAAGAGTAATTGTCTTCTATTTCTAGGTCTTGACAAGCTGCACAACCTCACAAGCAGCAGCTCCATCTGCTACGAGCTCTGTGTGGATTTGTGGGCAGCCAGAGAATCTGTCTGTGCTGTCTGTGAGTTCCTCCAGGTTGCCTCAAGCAGGGACAGATCCAGGCTGTCAGTGGGGAATTGCAGAGGCAGTGCTGGTGAGGAGGGCCTGGTACTGGTGCTGTCTCTGCACAGGGAAGCAAATGCTGGCACCTGGGTATTTGTCTTGCCCCATGGGCCTGTCTCATGCTGAAGATAGGAAAAAGAGTTGCTTGTTCATGGGGAAGAGAGGGCTCTGTGACCCAGGGAAATGCCTGAAAAGGCAAGCTGGGAAGTTTCTACAAGGTAACCTGTGCTGATGGGGCAGCAGCTTCTGGGGCTTGCCAGCTGAGAGGGAACAAAAGTGTCTTTTATTCAGAGGGGAGTTTTCTCAACAGCAGTGCTGGCTTCTGCCCCTGGTAAATCCCTACTATGTTGTGTCCATAGTCTTCCATTTATCCTTTAATACCCTTTGCCATGAGGTTTGTATCTTCATTTGGGAGGATGCACCCCTTGGACATGCCCCTCAGCAGCAGTGCCTTAGAGATTTGTGTGCACACCTATCCTGTGCTGTGGCTTTTCCCCTGCCAGGCCTGCTGTGTCCCACCTGAAGGGTGAGCAGCTGTAGTAACTTAATTATCTGTGTCTTTGATCCCTTCTTTTAGGGGTTGCAGAGACCTACCACAATGGCTGGAAGTACACAAGATGGCAAGGGGACAGTGATGTGGCTCTCAGCATCTGTGCCCTGACATGCCACAGTGCATGGTGGTACAAGAACCACACCTGGCCAAGCTCAGTGGGAAGCACGGGGAGAGCAGTCACTGAGGTGAGCAGCAGAGCTGGTGTGCTGATTATCCCTTCATAGCCTGGAGAAAAGACACAGAGCTGTGCTTCCTTCCTGTCTTTCCTTGGAGCAACAGGGATTGCCCTCCAACTTATTTCATTAGAACGTAAAATGATCCATAAGAAGACTTACAGCTCTCACTCTCTCCTCCTTGGATCCAGAGGACCTGAGCTCAGGGCTCCCTGCTTCTTGTGGGCAGAGATACTTGAGGTGGAGCTGTCTTGGTCACTGAGGGGAACACTCACTAGGAACTACACTGGGGTGCTTGCTCACTGTCTGATGTGACCTTTCCCTTGGTTTTTAGTGCATGCTTGGGGTACATCTCACTCTACAGGCTTACTTTGGGATTGAAGGTGGCTCAGTCCTGTTGTGTTCCAAGCTACACAGAGGTTTGATCTATATGAAGAGTGGCTGAAAGACTGATTATAATTAAAGCTTCTGTTTATTGCAGGGTTAAATGGTATTTGAGGTGGGCAGTGGTAGACTCCTAGCTTCTGGTCTGGGCACTTCAGTAAGAGAAATTCCTTGGTCTTTTCCCAGGGTGTGAACTGGGAGTCATGGAAAGGATATGACTTCTCCATCTCTTTTATGGAGATGAAGATCTGTCCTCAGTCTTCCAGTAATGAGCCAGTCCTGGGGAGGAAGAAGTCTTTATCAGAGAAGACAAAAAAGATCAGAACAATACCCAAAGGTAATGATTCAGTATTTCTTAACAAAGTTTGATTCAGACAGCTTTCTCCAATGCAATAGCTGACCAGTGTGCACCCAGGGACATCTGGATCTGCAGGCCAACCTGCTAGCAGCTTTGGAGCTCCTGGAGGGTGATGTTCCAGAGACTAGGAGGGGGCTTGTGGGGCATCCTGCTTGTAGATACTCTGGTTTGGCTAAGCATGACAAGGACCTGATTGATCCAATACATGCAATTTCTATGAACTTTATGTAAAACAAGCCTTAACACCTGTTGTTCTTTCTGTAGCCTGAGCTGCAGACTCCTCTTAATTCTCTTTTTCTGGTGCCATCACTTCAGATTTCCAAAAATAAATTTGAACCTACTAACAAATAATAGCCCCCTAACTTACATCAGAGTGAACTTTTCTGAGACTATCACCTCTCCCTATTTTGGTCTGCAGTTCTCCTCATTATTTGGGCACATTCCCTATTCTTCCTGCAGAACTGGGTTTTGGGAAACACTGCCAGTCTGCTGGCAAGGCTCACTAACCCACGTGTGTTCTGTAGACTGGGTTGCTCAGCCTCCAGTATCACATCTCTTCAGGTTAAAATCTTTCTATTTTGCTTGTGTCATTTTTCCAGCCCAGAGAAAATACGAAGGAGATGTATGTTCTTTCTGTAGCCTGGGCTGCATACTCCTCTTAATTCTCTTTTTCTGGTGCCATCACTTCAGATTTCCAAAAATAAATTTGAACCTACTAACAAATAATAGCCCCCTAACTTACATCAGAGTGAACTTTTCTGAGACTATCACCTCTCCCTATTTTGGTCTGCAGTTCTCCTCATTATTTGGGCACATTCCCTATTCTTCCTGCAGAACTGGGTTTTGGGAAACACTGCCAGTCTGCTGGCAAGGCTCACTAACCCACGTGTGTTCTGTAGACTGGGTTGCTCAGCCTCCAGTATCACATCTCTTCAGGTTAAAATCTTTCTATTTTGCTTGTGTCATTTTTCCAGCCCAGAGAAAATACGAAGGAGATGTGCAGTAGATTGATGTTCACTCTCCAGGGTGAGGCCCAGAACAGGGTGAATGTAAGGTCCATTCTCCTTCAGGCTCTGCTCACCATCCCAGACCTCTCTGTACTGCTTGCTTACAGACAATTAACCAAATTCCCTATGTGACTGTTCCATCTGCTGCCTTTTGCTTTTTCATCAGCAGTGTGGCAGGTAGTGATGCTGAAATGATAACACTTGTCATCCACCTCTAAAACGAGCATCCCATGGAGTTAAACTAATCCTGTGTGCCCCAGTACATGGTTTCACATTTGACTGGGTTTTTTTTTTTAATGTTTTTGAGGCTTTTATTTTTTTGTTTTGGTTTGGGTTTTTTCCCACTCACAGCCATAAAGGTGAGGTTTATTTTTATTTTTCCCTGGTAAGACATTAACATTTTGGACAGCCAGCTCCAGCCAGGGAAGAAGTATGAGCTAACCAAACGCTGCTTGTTCAAAAGCTTCCTTGTCTGAGCACACTGGGACATGGTTGTCCCATGTCTTAATGGCCTTCTCTATTGCAGTGCTAAGCTGAGTAATACATTTTAAAGAATCCTTCCCAGACTTTGGAGAAAGTAAAAAATTAACAAATAAAGGGGGTCTTAAATATTTCTGTCTTCTTTGTTTTGGGTGGTAGAATTGTTTTTCTTCCTATTTAAGCATTTTGCATGAAATGGAAGCATTACCCAGGTCTGGAGTGGGACTGTGCAGATTGGGTCTTTGGGGTCTGCTCCAAAACAGGGATGGGGATTGAGCTCTCTTTGTGACTTAACTCTGTGAAGTGCTTAACTGACCTGTGCTTGCTAGGACCTGGCTGAGGAGAGCCAGAGAGTTGTCTCTGGTGAGGTGAGGACTAAGTCCTTCATCCTACATTCAGGGCTGTGCCTCTCGGGTGGGCAGGTGAGCAGAGACTCATCTGAGCTGTGTCAGGCTATCCAAGCCCTGGCTTGGGGGAGGGAGGAGACTAATGGTGAGAGGTGTAGAAAGGAAAATTGTACTTGAAGTGTTTTGCAGGCTCTGTGCTAAGAGCATGAGAGAAGGACACGGGGAAGCGATGAGGGCTCTTTACTGTGAAGTGTTTTCTCCCTGTTGCCCACTTGTCTGTAGGCAAGGACAGATTTCAGTTTGTTATCCAGTTAAAGGGCTCAGTGAAGTCATTGGGAAGGTGGCTGAGATGGAGAGGGTGACCAGTCTCACAGACAGCCACTCTAAAAGTAAGTGTATGCTCTAAAAAACAGCAGGCGTGATTGTTACCTGTGACTTTTTCCTCTGCAGCAGCAAAACATAATCCCATCCTAAAGCTGAATCCCCCCGGAAGCAGGGAGTATTCCCTTAGGTAGTATAAGCTTTGTTTTTGTGCTAAGGGCAAATGAGGCGCCTTATTTGCAGCTTCTGAGGAGGGTCTGGCCTCCTAATGCTCTTCTTACCAGGAAGGGCAAAGTGAGAGCTGCTGGAAAACCGCAGCAGAAAGTCAGTATTCCCAACAGCCACAGGATGGCATTGTCCCTTCAGGCAGGAGAGACTCCCCGGTATCCAGCTGGCCTCTGCGAAAGAACCTTTGTGGGGTTAACTAGAGCCTGTGCTACAGCCCGGGACTGCTCAGATAGTGCAGTTTGTTTGCCTTGAGGGACTGGCTGTTCTGGTTTTGAGGCTCAGGATGGTTGGGTAGTGCCATAAAAAGGTCATATCCCTTTACTACCCTTGTTTTGCTGTAATATGTGGCCCTGTAACAGTGATGTAGGAGTGCTAATAAATACATTCTCAAAACCTCTGCCTTGCTCTGAGATCACTTAAAAGTTTATATACTGATTTGCAACACATCTGGGGCAGAATTTGAATCCCAGAAGGCTTTGGCATCACTGTGTTGATCCTGTAGCTGGGTCCTACCAGCCAGGACCCACCTATTGTGATGTTTCTGGGACCCCAGAGAAATGTTGCTGTATTCACCCAGGAACAGGAGGAAGAGGATGCCTCTTCCCAAAGATACTGTGTTTCTGTGGTGTTGTAATTTGGAGAGAAGCCTGAAGTGTCTTCCTGCACTGGACACTTGCTTGGAAAGCAGTATAGTTACTTTTGGTCACTGCTCTAGGCTTTGTTGGCTGAATAAATAGTGGAATGGTCAGTGAGGATCCAATTCTTCCACCATAGAGGGATTTAATGGGCATTTTTCCTTCCCTTCAACCTTTAGACTGCTCCAGGAGTCATCTCAGCCACTGCATATATCTAACCTAGGACCCTGGAACTATCCTTTTCCCCTTGCAGCCCAGGCTACCCAAGAGCACCTTGCCCTAAATCCAGTGTCTAACATCTGGAGAGAAGCAAGAAGCTCCTTTCTTCTCCAGGAAGTGGGCCTCTGCCATTTCTAGTGCTCATCTGTGCTCCTGCACTCCTCTTTCACCAGCCTCTTCCGGAGCCTCAGCTTTGTGGGCAAGGGGCAGCTTGGTGCCTCATCCGGATGAGAAGCAGGTTTTTATTCTTTGCCCTCACAAAGGCAGAGCTCCATGGTGTGGGATTTGCAAAGTCTCTGCCCAGCAAGCTGCAGACACCATGAAATACTTGTCTGATCAAAACCAACTGGGGTTAACTAGTCCGTGCTGCTGATCCTCCCTCCGTAAGAAAAAACAAACCTGCAGCCCACCTCCCACAGCACAAACCTTTTGTTCTTCCCACTACTTCTTGCCCTTGGGTAGAGCAGCTTGGCTGCGCTCATTAACAAAGCAAGGCCATTAACTTGATTAAGTTAAGCTGTTTCTTTAAAAAAGAAATCTCTAAGCTGCACAGCTGGCTGTAGGCAGATACTGCACAGCCTCTGCTGCTGAGCTCTCCCTGTGTCTTATCTACAGCCAGGACACAGGTACAAGAAAGATTTCCCCAGGAAAATAAACACATGACCAAGAGATCGAAATACAGTGTTTGTTTGCAGTTTAAGAGTCATTTATTTTTGGTTTAAAAAAAAATTGCACAAGATTTGTTTTGTTGTTGTTCCCTGTTGCATGGACTTGTTCAGGAAAATTGAAGGCTGATACTGAAATGCAGTTGTGGGAGGAAGGGCTGGGGTGTCTGGAGAGCAGGAGTTTCTGTACTGTGCATCTCTGCCCCCTTGGTAATGTGGGTGCTGCAGGGTTCCAGCTGCCCAGCTGGTGGATAACAGGTTCTAGTGAAGGCTTTTGCTGCTCTTTTGCTTTTTCCTCCAGAAGCAGCCGATTCAGTGCATGGTTTAGCTCAAACAGCAGACACCAAGGAAGCCAGCCCCGTGCTTTAGGCAGTGTGGAGGCTCAGACCATCCACTGGTTGGATGGATCAGGGCAGGGCTGTATCCTGGTCCCTCCCTGCCCAGCCCAGGGGTGGTTTGAATCATGGTTTTGGGGAACACTTGAAATTCAGACCTAGCTCTGAACTCCCCAAAGCCTGGATCCGGAGATGTGTGTGATCCAAAGCTCACATCTTCCTGGCAGTTCTCTGGTTCTTGCAGGAATTGCTTGCCCCCATTTGAAGAGTTACTTGCTATGCTTTCTGGAGAAAATCCTTCCTGCAGGAAGCCCAGCAAAGCCTGGCACCTCCACACCAGGTAGGCTGTACTCTGACAGTGCTTGCTGTCTCCATGCCTCTGCTTGTTTGGCTGAGCCTCTGGCCTCCCATCGTGTTTCCCTTTACTCTGATTATTTTTTTTGATTCCTCCAGGCAGCACCACCCTGCCTCAGGGCTGCTCCTGCCTCTGCATCACAGCACCTGCATGGGCTTCTTTGGCCACCGGGAGAGTGTGGAGGCAGGAGGGCTGAGAAAAGCACTTGGATGGGGAAAGGAGGGAAGGAAGAAGGCTCCAGGATCTTGGCTAGACTGGGAGCTTGGGACAGAGATCAGAGCTATTTCTGCCTTTCCTAGCATGACATGTGGCAAATCCTAATTTTTATACCATTATATGCTGCTTCCTGTTTTGGAGCAGAAAAGAGTCACTAATTTCAATGGTGACAAAGCAAACTGGAAAATAAGGCACATATGGGGTCAATTTAAAGGGCTGTGTGAGGAGGAGCCCAGCCTCATGGCTGTTCCCAGCACAAAACCCTGGGACACGCAGCCAAACCCTGTGACATGATGTGACCATCACAGCCCTGCCTGCATTGGACAAAACAGGCTGTGCTGGGACTGGGTGGCACAAACAGCTGCTCCCAGCTGGTGGCTTTGTCCTCCAAGTGAGGGGAAGGTGGCATCACCCTTGCCCGGGCTGGAAGCAGCTGTGCCCAGCAGCTCTGTCCAGGCTTGCCCACGTGGGTTTGGCTGCTTGTTCCCCAGATGCCTGGCTCTGGCTGGCAGCTCTGCTCTGCTCCAGCAGCTTAAGAACTGGAGGAAAATAGAAGGAAGACATCCAGTGTGCAGACAGGGCAAAACCCAGATGTGATGAGGCTTCTCATCACACACATGGAAAAAGAGATGAGGGAGACAGAGCCTGGTGGGGCAGAGAGTGGGGAGCACAGGGACTCCCAGCTCAAGGGACAGAGGATGGAAACACAAGCCAGGGTGGGGCAGGTGGGAAGCAGAGCAGGGATGAGAGCTGTGTGTGGTCCTACTAGCTGCTGTGCCCAGCTGAACTATCTTTCCAAGGAACAGGAGGATGGAGAGAGGTGCATATAATGTATCCCTGTGTAAGGGATGACTGTGCACATGGAATTTACTTTGCTTCTACAGCACATTCAAAATCCCAGAGCTGGTCAGCCTGACAGCCATACAGAATTGTTCAGTGCAGCACACAGAGCTGGCATCAGCTAGGGCAGCACCTGCTCATGGGTCTGTGTGTGTGTGTCTGACACATGGCACAAGGGCTGCAGGGAGAGGTGATGGCTGAGTGTGCCAGGAAACCATGTCTGCTGCTTCAATACTGCTTCCATGTCCCTGGTCCCACTCCAGAGGGGCCTTTGGTCCTGCTCTTCTTTAGTAGTCATTTAATAAATAACTCTAATGCCCATAGCAAAGCTTTTACACAGCCTCAGGTTGTGTTTCTGCTCTTGCAGAAGCATGGTGAGCTCTTTAATGGCAAGTTTGTATTAAACAGTCTTTTAAGGAAGGCGTTTTCTTAAGTGCTGGTGCAAAAGGGCTGGTGTGGCAGCCTTCTCTCTCCGTCCTGCCTCTAGCCTAGGTGGCAAGGCATCCTTCTGCTGTGCTGCCTTAAGGATGGTGTCTGAGGTCTCTAAGGTTGTGCTGAGGGCATCTAGCTTCAGGTGCTCACAAGAGACTTTGGTTTGGTGGCCTGGTAGGTGGCACATCTCTAAGCTGTGGGGTAACTCAGCTTTGTGTCTGTAAAGCGAGCTGGGTTTGGACGGAGCCTCGAGAGTGAAGCTGTGCCATCTCCATGGCAGGGTGAGCAAAGGAGGTGTCTGTGCCTGCTTCACTCACAGCAGTCTGTGCTGTGCAGGGGGAGCGTGCAGGTGGCTGGTCTGTGGGTGAACGCTGTCCTGTGCACCCTGTCTGTGTGCTGGCAGCAGAGGGAGAGCCTCACACACCCTTTGCTGTGTGCCAGCCCCACGGGTGTGCACTGTGCTCGTGGCAGCAGGGACGTAGGACCCGGTGGCAGTCACCCTTGTGTGCTCACCTGTCCTTTGCAGGGGTCTCTGCCCCGGGGCGTGCTGTCATGGTGGGGGAGAAGAGGCTTGCACAACCTGTGCCTTGTTTCCTGTTGGCCCTTCAGCGTGCTGGGGTCAGCCTCTGTCAAAAGTCACCACAAAGTGGCAGCAGCTTTGGTGTCTCCTCGCCCCTCCTGGTGCACAGGTGAAAGGAATGGTGGCATCTCAGAGGAGAGGACCTGAATACCCTCCTGTCTGCTAGATGGGCAAGGAGGGTCTCTTGTCCAGCAAGAGCAGCTTGGGCTGAGCTGAGATCCACAGGTCCTCTTCATCCTGCTTCTTCTTCTTCTTCTTTTTCTTCTTGTTCCTCTCGGCATGCAGCTGCCCATTGCTGCTGGGGCCACCTTTCCCTATGCTTTCTCCCCTCCTTCTGCAGAAGCAGCAGTGGCAGCAGATGAAAATGAAGGCAAGGAGGACAACGAAGGGTAGACCCAACAGCACGGCCAGGCAGACGGTGTTGAAGACGCCTTCCTCATGCTTGGTACGGATGAGCTCCAAGATGGAATTGAAGAAAGAGCTGATCTTCTGCTGCATGTCAGCTCCTCAGCAGGCTGCCTGTGCTGCTCCCTGTGCTTGAAAGGCACCTTGAGATATGCTCAGCTCCTGCAAGCAGCTAGTGGGCTCCACAAGAGTCCTTGGATGGTGCCTGCAGAGACAAGAAACAACATGGATCAGGTGCTTGCTCCCTCAGCAGTTTTCTCCATGGAGCTGCCAGAACAGCCTAAGCCTCAGCAGGGTAAGATGTCTCCCACCATGGAGGGGCCTGGAGCTGTGGGGGAAGGACTGTGCTACCTGCTATGTCCCTTTGGGTGTCTTCATCTGAGAAACACAGCCTCCTATCTCCTGGGGTTTGTTCTTGATTGTGGGGATGGGTGAGGGAGGGCTTTGGGCATCCTTACTTGCTTAGGAATTTAGCCAAGCACAAATGCTGCCCCTTTGGATTTACACATCAGCCCTGGCTGAGCACTCACAGCACGGAGCTCCTATTAGCCCTTTGCAGGACTTCTTTCATAGCAGATGGAATATTGTCTGCAGGAGAAGCCCTAGGAAGGGACTTGCCTGATGTAGGTCAGTGACCATTGTGGAAACACAGTACTGCCACAGGAGCCAGGACTCCATGTGTCACGGGTCCCCCCTTATACCAAATCCTGGGATTAAGGTATCTTTGGCCAGGCTCATGGTCTGGGATGGGCAGCACAGATGCGGGGTCTGTTCCTGCTACCCTGGGCTCTGCCAGCAGGTTTGGTGTGGGGGCTGTGGCTGAACCACCTGTATTTTGGATGAGGACTGTGCTCAGTGGGACTCACAGGTGATGCTCAGCTGGTAGAGCCCAGTGAGCAGCCCTGCACCCACTGCATGTACCAGGGCTGGCCACAAAGGCAGCAGCAGGGGAGGATAAGGGTTGGCTGGCAGGAGGAGTTGCTGCTGCTGTGCCTCACCTGGGAATTGCTCCAAGGGTTTGGGCAGGGCTGAGAAGCATTTCTGTGGCCTGACGTAAGGTTTTCCTCTTCCCTCAGGGAGGGAGAGGTGCTGCTGAGTGCCAGGGCTCTCAGGGAAGCCCTCCTGCAGGGGCAGGGAGCTGCTGCCTCTGCTCACATCCTTCTTTCCCTCCTGTGGCCAGGCAAAGCATCTGAGTAGAGCAGGGGCCTTTGTGCTGCAAGTTTGCAGTTCTGGTTCAATAGGGGTCACTAAATTAGAGGTGGTACAGATGGCAGGGGCAGTATCAGGCTCCCTATTTCACCCTTGCTCAGCGTTTTACAGCAGTGTCTTTGCCAGCCTTTGGGATTCAAGCCCTGCAGCCCTTTGAGGGAATGCGTAAAACTCCACATGTCCAGGACAGGAAACTGAGGCACAGTAAAATGAAAACCAAAAAACTTGAGAGGTACAGCCTGAACACCAAAGGTGTCCTAGAGGGGTTGCTCCACCTGTCCCCTGTAACTCCTTATCTTTTCTTCTGGCAGCTCTCACAGACCTCGAGGATCTTGAGGGAGGGACAAGAAAGGCATCCAGGCTGGTTTTGGCTGAATCCTCCATGTTTGCAGCACTGCCTTTCCTTGCTTTGCATCTCATTTATTCCTTGTTTGGCACCTGCTAAGGGATGCTCTCTTGTATGGAGAGTTTTAGGATTCTCCAGCTAGCACCACTGTGCTTCCTTGTGCCTCGCTGTGCCATTACACCCCACGCCTAAAGGAAGAGCAAGGCACCAGCCTTGCCCAAAAAGGCAGCCACAGGTCCCACCCAGCCCTAACCACAGCTCTTGTGATGCTGCTTGGGCAGGAGCTCCTGGGCAGCCCCCTAAAAAGCAGCTCCCAAGGGAAATCCTGCCTTCCAAAATGCTCTCCTGGGACCTACAAACTGTACAGGGTCTGGTATCACTGGTGTCCTCTGGCTGCTGGCTTTCAGACCTGATTGTCAGGACCTCAGGAGCTGAATCCCTCAGCAGAGATGCCAGGCTCTTCATTTGGGATTCCACAAGTGCTCAGATTCTGTTAAAAATAAGGGGGTTATCCATGTCCCTCAGAAACAGACTGTGGATTTATTGCTTTGATTTGCATGAGCTGAGCTGGCCCCAATTAGCTGCTGGTTTCTCTTTTGAACGTGAATTTCTCTGGGTGCCTTTCTAAAAAATTATCATTTGAGATTTACCAAATGAAATGCGGTGCTCTGGGAGGTGGTTTTGGCTTTGGCTGGAAGAAGTTTATTATTATTACTGTTATTACTAATTATTATTAATGGATTTTTGTCCAGTCTGCTGCATCAATACTGGCTGTTCCTCACATTCCCTCATTCCACTTACTCAACAGAGGACAGAAATATCATCAATATCCCCACCTGAGAAATCACAGGCTACCACTCAGAGTTATTACTGGATTTTTGTCCAGTCTGCTGCATCAAAACTGGTTGTTTTTCTCACATTCCCTCATTCCACTACTCAACAGAGGACAGAAATATGATCAATATCCCCACCTGAGAAATCACAGGCTACCACTCAGAGACTCAAATCTCACACAGCCTCTGCCCTACCCCCTGCCTGGAGCCAACTGGGAGCATCCCAGATCTGCTTTTGCTCACAGGGGAGATAAGTGAGAGCCACTTCTTAAAGCCTGCTCCCTGTCCTGACCTTCATCTTCACCTAGGTTGTTTTGGGGGGGCAGCTGTAGCAAAGGTTACACTGCAACATAAATAAACAGAGCAGCTTTTCTTTAGTGTTATCCACATGCTGCAGGTTTGCCACTTATCCATAAGCATCCTGACAGCTCATTATCCAGGCAGGAATACAGGATGCCTATGATACACTGGACTCCAAAAAAGAAGTAAAAAATCCAAACAATCCCCTAACAACAACCGCCTTAATTTCAGACAAAACAGGATGTACAGTTTTATTCCTGCACTGAACTGCTTTATATTTATTGCCTCTAAACTTCTGGGTAGGGAAGGAGGGCTGGAACTTCCTTTTAAACTTCTAATTAATTGTTTGCAGAGGAAAAAAGAACGGGGAGAAAAAACAAAAAAAGCAAAGCCCTTTGATATGTTTCCACTTTAAACTGAATGCACTGCCGTGTCCCTGGCTGATTGTCACTGGGAAGTGTCCAGCTGGGGACATGTGGCCACCTTGGGCAAGCCAAATGTGCATCCCTTGGAAGGGGAAGGTGGAGGTACCTGCCCCTGCCCTGACCAAGCAGCACCCAAATCCCAGGGCCATCTTCAGCAAGCCCATGCAGCTGCTTTTCAAATGCCTTTTCTTTCTGGTGTCTGCATTGCTTTTTGTTTTGTAGATGAAGGGGTGTCTGTGTGCTAAATAATGGGATTCTTCAGTTTCATATTAAAAAAAAATGGGGAGGGGAAAGTAGAAACACTGATGTGTTTGGAGGCAGCAACTCCAAGGGCAGAGGGGTTACCCAAGGCCACCCATTGCCAGCTGAAAACCTGAGTGCACCACGAGGAGCTGCATTTAGGAATATCCATGCTGCTGCTCAATTTGGTGTGACATCTCCCCTTAGAGAGGGGGGATGAGCGTGGAGAGCTGCTTTGCATGCTGTGGTCCAGGATGGGTGTGAACTGCTTGCTGCAAGCATGTGGAGCTGCCATTGGGAGGTCAGATGTTTTTTTGGGTCAAGATATGGGACCAAAAAACAGGGCCAGGGAGGTACTGGGAGACAGGGCTGTGTCTCAGAGAGGGCTGTGAAGCATCCTGCTAAATGAGCTCTTTGTTTTTGGTGCTGGCAGAGCCAGGGGAAAGCTGACATGGAAACTCGCCTGGGAACTCCTGTGGCCAGGGATGGATGGCTCCAGCTGAAGGCAGCTCTGCATGACAGGGCTTCGTGCCACTTGTGTAAGTTTTAATCAATATTGCACATCCACCATGAGGTTCTTTAATCCACGCTGCCTTCGAAAGAGCTGGTTTGCAAGGGTGGGGAGCATCTGCCACTCCTCTGCACTTATGGGAGGCCGTGGGTGGAAAACAAGGTCCTTTTGAGGGACAGCTTGTGATGGCACCACAAACTGTGGCGTGCAGGGCTTGCCTGGCTGAGCTGGAGGGGTAAAGGCTGCCAGCCTGGGCATGGGGAAACCAAAACAGAGGGTGTTGCCTTGGCAATGCTGGCTTGTCCACATCCTGTGCGCTGCAGAGCGACCGCAGCGACTGGGGATGGAGGTAGAGTTTGCAGAGAAGCTGCAGTTTACTGGAAACTGCTGTGCTGTGTCACTGTGGCAGAGGGGAGAGGTGGAGGTCATTTTGCTAGTTAAGTTCTTTAGGCCCAACCCTCAACAGGCTCTTATGTCTTCTTGAAGTTCCCTCCAACCTCACAAAGCTCAACCTGCTCCTCTCGGGTGAGATGCCGCCTGACTCAGGCAGGAGTGAGGCTGCTCTAAGTGAGAGCAGTGGCAGCTCTGGGGGCACCTCTGGGGCGTGCCCCAAGTGTTTCTGGATTATTTCAACACTCCTGTGCTCTGTGGCCAGCTGCACCTCAGGACTTGTGGAGGTGACATGAAATCAACTGACCTACGGCCACCCCCGTTTCCCTCATGCAGATGAGACCACACTTGGTGCAGTTGATGCTAAGGAGTGCAAAGCAGGAATCACATTATTAAACAACCATTTCCGTCTGTTACTGGCTTGATGTCAGCTTTATACCAACTTTCCATTGCAGTGACAGCTGTGGTTCAGGCAGGGAGAGGCTAAATTTTGTTACAGCCTGCGAGCTCCCTGATCCACCCAGCAGGGACACAGCTATGCTGTCACACACAGTGGCACCTATTTTCCCTGCCTGCACCTGCAGACTTAAAGGAAAACTGGATGAAACCTGACACCGAGGGTGAGCAGTTTCCTTAGCAGGGATTGCACGTTGCTGTTTCGGAAATGGTGACTAAGAAGGGTTTTGCCGCCGATCTCCCAGAACTCGCAGCAGGCTACAGAGACCTTCCTCAAACGTAAAAGACAAACACAAAAAGCCACCACCCAGCAAACACGACCAGCTGAAGCTTCACCTCGCTCCCACCACCATCAAACCTTCCTGCCAGAAGCCACGCGTAAATGCCTTCATTCCCTAAAGGGAGTGATTTGGAAAACTACCGATAAGGATGTTGGATAAGAGGGTTAAAGTGAAACTATTTTGCAAGCTGCTGCCTGGAGCCCACTCGTCACCACGGTCTGCACACGCGCGGCTGCCGCCGGCACCGCATCACCGAGACTGTGGCCAAAAGATCATTTTGAGTTTAGGTGAGGGCCACTGTCACCCCTGGGTGCGCTGGGAGCTCCTCAGAGCCATCCGGGCTCCTCCAAACTGCGGCGGGGCAGTGCTGCCCGTCCGGCGGGCAGCAGCCCCAGCCGCGGCTCTCCCTGGGGTCCATCACCTGCGGCTTTGGTTACAAAAGGCTCAGCCAGAGAAACAGCGGCTGCCCCATCCCTGGGAGCGTTCAGGGTCAGGTTGGACGGGGCTTGGAACAACCTGATCTAGGGGACGGTGTCCCTGCCCATTCAGGGGTTGGAACGAGGTGTCCTTAAAGTCTCTTGCAATCAACCCGCTCCGGGATCCTGTGGTGTTCAAAACCACAGTGGTTTTGGTGTCCCAAACCCCGGTGCCAGGCAGACTGCCCCGGACACCCGTCCCGTCAGAGCTGCTCGCTGCTCATCGCTCTGTCCCAGTCCCCATTCTCACCCCCTCCCCGCGGGCTGCGCGAAGCAGACGGTGTGACCTGAGAGGAGAAAAGCCCTGGATTTGAGTAACACAGCACCGAGGATAAAGCCCAGCCTCGGGTACTCCCCGGGCCCCCGACCTACCTCAGCCCCGTCCCGCGCGCTGTCCCGGCGAGCGGCGGCTCCCGGCAATGGGCCGGGCCCGGCCCCGCCGCCGCCTCCGGCCCCGCCGGCCCCACCTGGGGCTCCCCCGCCCCCGCCGGAACCCGAACTGCGGGGCGCGCACCGCCTGAGGGGCCCGCCCGGGCTGAGGGATTTGGGCTGGGGAGAGGCGGCAGCGGGGCACAAACCAGCCCCGAGCCTGCTGTGGGGAGAGGGAAGGAGCCTGGGCTGCACCAGTCCTTTGGTGCAGCCCGGGATTTCCCAGCAGCGATTTTGGGAGACAGCAGGGAGGGCATGAGGGCGGTGATGGCGCTGCTGTGGTGGGTAGAGCTCCATCAGTGCCCGGAGTACCGCCCTGGACCCCCTGAGCACCGCCAGGCTGCTCCTGTCACCTCCACCCTGCGTGCTGCCACCCCTGCCCTGCCCTCACACCCACCCTCTGTCCCTGCAGAGGGGGCACTGCAGCCAGGCAGGAGGCGATGGAGCATCCCGAGGTGATGCGGCATCCAGGAGCATCCTGGGTGCTGTACAACGATGGATGTTTCAGCCTGGGAAACATCCCTGGCTGCGAAGGGTTTAGTGGTGGCCTTGGCATTGCTGAGTTAAGGGTTGGGTTGATGACCTGAGAGGGTTTTTTTTGATTCCATTGATTCTGTGATTCAATATTTTCAAACTGTGATCCCAATTCCATTGGGATTGCCACCCCCACCCTTCACTTGCTACTTTCTCTCCCACTTATTTCTTTTTTAACACCATGGCAGTGATACCCAGAAATTGCTGAATCCCGGCTGCTTTTCAGTCCAGGGCCCTATGGCCTCCACAAAGTGTTGTGATTCTGACAGCTGGGCAAGCTGCAACTAGAAAAATGTTCTGCTGGAATTTTTCTGGTTGGACTGAATCCTTTTGGATTGCAAAATCTCCACATTTGCCCTCCTTCATGCTCCAGAGCCAGTGGCTTGGTTTTACCACTTCAGCCTTGGTGCTGACTTGTGGAGCTGGGCTAGCCAGGGCTATCTGACCCTTCAAGGCTCCTGGAAAACAGCCTCCCATTCCCAGTACTGTGACTTGGCAGCACCAGGAGCAATGCAGGGCTGGGAATAGGAGGGAAGAGGGCTACAGAGGAGACTGGAGGGATGGAAGTAAGCTGGCTGCCAGCCTCTGCTGCCTTCACCCTAGTGCTGGAGTTGGAGAGGTGAGAGATCCTCAGAAACACACATTGTAGGCTACAGCTTGTGCTGAGTGCCTCCTCATACCCTTAGGAAAGGTGTTTATGTCCTGTGAGAAACACCAAGCAAGTTTTCCCTAAAGATTTGCTGTTTAGTACCAGGAACTTTTCCCTTGGTTTTTTTTTTTTTTGCTGGAGGATGAAGATTCCTGGGCTTTGCATCATGTGGTTTACTGTATCTCAGTTTCTCATATCCCAGTTCACCCTATTCCATCCCCTTTCTCCATGTCCCAGCTCACCCCATCCTATTTCTCCCTTGTTCTATCCCACCCCCTGCATCCCAGCTCTCCCCCTTCACTGAGCTGCAGCCATTCCCTCTTTTGTGGTACCAAATCCCTCTATGAAAACACCCTTCCCAGGGCACACGGAAGCCACCTGGCTGCTGACAGTCACCTGAGGAGTACCTGACCACTCTACAGCACCAGACAGCACAATGCCACCTTTGAACCCCTTCTAATAGGATTGATTAAAAATATTTATTATCAGAACTCTCTGAGGTGAGCATATCTGAAAGCATTAATTTCAGGGTGCCTGTCCCTGAGCATGGGAAAGTGAAAGCCCAGCCTGTCCCTGGCACCCAGGATATTTGCTCCGTTCCCTGGGCAAACAGCCTCACTGGGGCTCCACACTTCCCTATCACTAATTTAATTTGGCAGAGGCCTTGACAAGGGAGGGGCTGCTGGCCTTGCACCTTCCCCGGATTTTCGGGGGCCCCCCTGAACACGGTGCCTTGGCAGCCTCTTGGCTTCAGGCAGGAGTGCTGTGGTGATGTGGCACTGCTAGGGCTGATGTCTTGGAATGCTGCTACCTGGGAAGGAGTCTTAATGCCATTAAACTGAGCTGGGAAGCATCAGATAGACTTTAGGAAACTGAGAATTAATGGAAGAATATACAAATATAATCAGTCCACTGCTCTAAGCCAGCATCTTCCTCCCCATATCTGACCTGTAAAGGTCCCTTCCAACTCCAGCTCAAATTCCATAGTGGTCTATAGGAGCTGTTTTGAATTTAAACAGCATGTGATGCTTGACCCTGTGGCTGTCTCCTGCAGCAAGGTGTGCCAAGGCTCCTTCCCAAGTGGCATGGAAAAAAGGGTACATTTGCAGGGATTTTGAACCTGCCACCTCCTCGTTTTGTTTGGCACGTAGCATATCTGGGATCCAAGGAATCGTGCTTTGTTTCTCAGAAACTTTAATGGGCGAGAGGAAGCCGTGACTCAGCTGCTGATGAATCACTGCAGCTCCAGATTGTCTCCCTGCTTGCTGGTGCCCTTCAAGCACAGGAACTGAGTGAGCCCATGCCAGGCAAGCTCCTGTCACCTCATGGGATGGCAGTTTGAGCCCAGGCCTCGGACCAGCTGGAAATCAAATCCCACCTCCAGCTCCTGTTTTCCATCCATCCTTCCCAAACCCCTTATTTCCATGTGATATCAAAGCCTTTTCCATGCCAAAAAGCACCCTGATAACTTCAATTTCCTCTTGAGGCCCCCCTCAACCCCTAATTTGATTTTGAAAACACTACTCATTTTACACTGAAGATAGACAGAAACACTCTCTTGCCTCCCCCTTATTTCATTGGATTAATCTAATTTTGTTACCAGTTTGCCCAGTTACACAGCTGTGAGATTTACTCCTTGATAGGACCCAGCTGGTACCCAGGGTCAGTTTATTTGGGGTTTTCTCAGTATGGTGGGAGTGGTGGAGTGCCTGTAGACATGATCACACCTTTCTTTCCCAGCTGTTTCCTCTGCTCTCTGGTGGTGATTTCTATTTGCAGACACTAGTCTGGCTTAAAGTAAGCAATGGAAAACTCTGCTCCCAGAGAAACATTCCTCTCATTTTTCCCCCATGCTTCTGCCTTTCCCCCTCCCTCTCCCCCTCCCACAAAAAAAAGCCTGCAGTTAAAACACCAAAAATAACGCACGCTCTGGTCGTGGTCTGGATAAAAATAGCAGCTCTTGGTATTTAGCAGCAGCAATGGATTTTCTGGCTTTGGAGGAAAATGAGGAGGAGGGGTGGGATGGGATGGTGACTCTTGACGCACGAGTGGAGGACAAACACAAAGCTGGTGTTTAAGGAGAAGCTGCTTCATCCCCTCCTCTCCCTCATTTGTACCAGCTGGGCTCTGTCCCCTCCAGGAAGGGGGAGCTCTGAGGGAAGGCTGGGCTCAGGTGTCCCAGTTCCACCTGGGGCTGTTGTGGTGCTGCCCTTAAGTGTTGGGGCTAAGTCCCAAGTAGGCAGGGATGGGGGCAAATGCCCCAAAGCTGGTGATTTTTTGGGGGTGCCTCATGCCCACCCATCACTTGGGAGGCTTTGGCAAGCTGGGCTTGCCAAGGTGAGCCAGGATTTTGCAGGATCATCCCTCCCTGGTGTTTAGACAAGAAGAATGCTGAGGTGGGGATTGAGGGGGGGTTCTCAGGTGCCTCCTCAAATGCTGCTGGATGCTTGTTGAGAAAGCTGTGGTATAAGGGACCTGTGTGAGGAGATGAGGAGGGTGGTGTGTGTCTGCTCAGGGCACAGCTCAGTGTTTGAGCTGTTTAGAGCTGATTGTTTTGTGTGTGTGAGCCTTCAGGAACTCCTTCCTGA